CTAAAAAAAAAAAAAAATATATATATATATATATATATATATATATATACACACACACACACACACACACACACACACATGTAAAATGAGCCGGGCATGGTGGCAGATGCCTGTAGTCCCAGCTGCTCAGGAGGCTGAGGTAGGAGGATCGCTTGAGCCCAGGAGTTGGAGGTTGCTGTGAGCTAGGCTGACGCCATGGCACTCTAGCCTGGGCAACAGAGTGAGACTCTGTCTCAAAAAAAAAAAAAAAAAAAAAAGTAGCCGGGGTGTGGTGGCTCATGCCTGTAATCCTAGCACTCTGGGGAGCCGAGGCCGGCGGATTGCTCGAGGTCAGGAGTTCAAAACCCAGCCTGAGCAAGAGCGAGACCCCCGTCTCTACTATAAATAGAAAGAAATGGCCAACTAATATATATAGAAAAAATTAGCCAGGCATGGTGGTGCATGCCTGTAGTCCCAGCTACTTGGGAGGCTGAGGCAGAAGATTGCTTGAGCCCAGGAGATTGAGGTTGCTGTGAGCTAGGCTGACGCCACGGCACTCACTCTAGCCTGGGCAACAAAGTGAGACTCTGTCTCAAAAAAAAAAAAAAAGTTTAATAAGGACAGGGATTTTTTTGTGTGTATCACTGTTGTATCCAGAGTCTAGTACATTCTGGTAACATAGTAGGCGCTCAACAAATATTAGTTGAATGAATGAATTAAATAAACATTTATTGAGTGTTGACTAGGTGCCAGCCTTGTGCTGGGCACTGAGGGTGTGATGGAGAAAGGTGCAGGCCTAGGTCTTACCTTCAGGGAGCTTGCAGTTTCTGCAAGAAGAGATGGATGAGGAAACAGTTTTGTGGAATCTGCTGTTCTGATGCCCCAGTGGGGAGTGACCACACTTGCTTGGTTCCTGTGCTCCTGCCATTCCTAATATGAGACTCACTCACAGCTGTCCGATTTCCAGGCTTCAGAGTGGGAGCTGAATGGTTCCAACCAGAAATGGTTCCCCTACTCTGTTTTGCCTCTGATCCTGGCCCAAGAAAAGAGTCCCTGCAACCTGTTTGCTTCTGCCCTGGAGCCCGGTCACAGCCTCCCAGACCTAATAATGGAATTCATCATAACATGGTAGAATTGCCTGTTGACTACTCTGGGTCACCGTAGAATGTAAGCACCTTGAAGGCAGGGACCAGGTCTGTCCTGGTCACTGCTCTATTGCCAGTAACTAGCTGAGTCCCTGGATCACACTAGCTGCAGAGCATGGTGGTTCACAGCATGTGCTGCAGGCCAGACCATCTGAGTTTGAATCCCAGCTCTGCCTTACTAGCAGCGTAATGCTGGCCGAGTCACTGAATCTCTCTGTGCTTTGGGTTCTTTGGTGTGTAAAATGGAGACAAGAGTGGTACCTATCTCATTGTGGTTCCATGAGAAGTGGAGGAGTTAATATTTGTAAGTGCTTAGAACAGTGCCTGGCATATCACTGCTTCATAAGGAAGCAAATGCTAAATACTATCTGTTGACTGACTGAATGAACCACAAATGTGGTTGCCCCCGCCTGCTCTGAGCTCAAATGTGAATCTCACATCTCTTTGCTGCTGAGCACTCTGGAACTGCTCAAATTCTATTGAATTTCGGTGGGGGAGGCCAAACCGCAGCACCCACCCTAGATGCCTAGAGCAAGTTTCCATCGTGTCCACTTAGATCCTTTCCTGACCGCATTTCCAGTTCTGGTTGTGGCGGTGCTTGGAGAGCCTTTGCATCACCATTTTCATTTGCTCTGCTAGGGGACTTGATTTCCCTCCCTTCTGTGTTTGGAGTTGACACACTTTGCCCTGCTCTCTTTGTGAACATTCTTCGAGCTTATCTTTCTGGGCCAGGCTGGGCTAGCCCAGTAGGAACCTCATCCTGGTGCAGGAGATGGCATGGGCATGGTATGCTGGGGCAAATATGAGGTCACAAATGTCAGGTTACAAAGCCCTAGAGCATTAGGTGTGAGAGTAGACCCAAAACAGAGGAGATGAGCTCTCCAGAGGAAGCAAGGGTATGATGAGCTAGGTGGAGTTTTAGGCCAAATCCTGCCTGGGAGTAGACTAGCCTACAATAGACCTAGTCCATAGGCTCCGGGATAAGCTTCCGGGGAGTCCCTCAAAGCCCTTGAAATTAAATGTGTTTTGTGCATATGTGGACAGATGGGCATTTTCTGGGAGAAGATTCGTTGATTTCACCCAATTTTCAGAGGAGCTCATGAAGAAAGAATGGTTAGGAATCACTGGTCTAGTTCTCAAATGTAGATGGTATCAGAGCACATGGTAAATGCACAAGCTATCATCAGATTGCCTGGGGTTATGTCCTGGCTTTGTCACGTACTGGCTGTGATCTCAGGCAAGTCACTTAACTGTTTTCTCTTCTTTTAAGAGTGGTTAACCTGGACACAGAAGTGTTGAATTGAAATCCGCAGAGCATTTTTACAAGAGTTCTGACCTGGATGGGGTAAACCTCAGTGCACTTTTCCGTTGCCTCAGTATTACTGGATTGAAGAATTGCTGTTTCTTGTTAGGAGGTTCATTTCATTTACCATTACTTCCAACTTCATACTCAAAGCACTGAGAATTTCAAGTGGAGTATATTGAAGTAGACTTCAGTTTCTTTGCATCATTTCTGTATTCAATTTTTTAAATTCTTTCATAACCCTATTGAGTGTTTTTTAACTAAATTAACATGGCTCGAATGAACTGCCCGACTCCTGTAGAAGTCACATACAAGAACATGAGATTTCTTATTACACACAATCCAACCAATGCGACCTTAAATAAATTTATAGAGGAACTTAAGAAATACGGAGTTACCACAATAGTAAGAGTATGTGAAGCAACTTATGACACTACTCTTGTGGAGAAAGAAGGCATCCATGTTCTTGACTGGCCTTTTGATGATGGTACACCACCGTCTAACCAGATTGTTGATGACTGGTTAAGTCTTGTAAAAATCAAGTTTCGTGAAGAACCTGGTTGTTGTATTGCTGTTCATTGTGTTGCAGGCCTTGGGAGAGCTCCAGTGCTTGTTGCTCTCGCATTAATCGAAGGTGGAATGAAATACGAAGATGCAGGACAATTCATAAGACAAAAGTGGCATGGAGCTTTTAGCAGCAAGCAACTTTTGTATTTGGAGCAGTATCGTCCTAAGATGCGGCTGCGCTTCAAAGACTCCAGTGGTCGTAGAAACAACTGTTGCATTCAATAAAACTGGGGTGCCTAATGTTACTGCCTTGGAAGGAAAATTTGACACAGGACCTAATATGTCATATATATTAGCCAACATGTTGGCTTGGTGAATAAGTCTAATGAAGCTTCCATAAGAGTATTGTAAAGCGGTTTTACCAGGCCACAACTTTAACAGAATTGCAACTTATGTGTCTGGGTTACGGTTAGCCTTTTTGGACACTTAGCAAAAGATTCTTGCTGTTCAGCATTTAAAATGTGCTTATCATTTGTACCAATTGACCTTTCCTGAAATCATGCGGTATTGAGTTATGTCTTGTTTAAATCTATTCCCATGCCAGAATCTTATCAATATATAAGAAATTTAGAAAGATTAGGTGCCAAAATACCCAGCACAATACTTGTATATTTTTAGCATCATACAGAACTAAAATCCCAGGAACTATGAACACTCTAGACCTTATATGGTTTATCCATTTCAGACATTGAAAGTAGGGCCTACATGGTTATTTGTCTGCTCACTTTGTTTACATCTCCCACATTTATACCAGTATACATCAGGTTTGCTTAACCATTGATTTTTTTTATTCTTTTTACCAAGTCTTTCAGTGATTATTTAATGTCTTTCTGTAAATCTCATTTTGTGCTGTTATGAAAAACCTCCATTTTAAAAATCAACATTGTACAGAAGCACATGTCTTTAATGTCTTCAGACGAAAACGCCTTACAGTTAATTTAATGTTTGCACTCTGAGGTGCAACTTAACAGGGAGGGCCTGAAAAAAGAATGGGAGGGAGCTATTCAATATTTTTAGCAAAATGTTGCCTTTGTCTTGTGCAGAACATGTAGAAATATGCTCTTTAATTTAGTAAATATTTTTTAAAAGGTAGAGATGCTTTGTTAATTGTAGCTAAAACAATTCTTAATCATAAAATTTCTGAAATTCTTGTAATTTTTTTCCATACTTATCAGAAGTTGTTTATCAACTTATTTTTGTTTGAAGTGTGATTTTTTTTTTCTGTTCCCAACCTCTCTTGCAAAAAAAAAAAGAAGTGGGTTTCTGCTAATGAATTGAGCAGACATCTAATATTTTATATGCCTTTTGAGCTATGTAACTTAATATTTGGATACTTGATAATTTGTTTTATTATGTAATTGATAAAATGGTGATGTGTATTAATGTTAGTTCAACCATATATTTATACTGTCTGGGAATGTGTGGTTATAGTTCTGTGGAGAAATAATTTGTCAGTGTTCACCAGCTTGTAAAAACTTAGAGTGAGAGCTTAAACATCTAAATAAATAATGAAATGCAAAAAAAAAAAATGGTTTGCTCTTTAGTTTCAACTAAGACCTCAACACTGCTTGGCAGTCCTATTTTGTGTGTCCCTGGTCAGCACCTCTTCAGTGTCCTGAAGCAGCCATTCCGCAGCCCTTTTACTCTCCTCCAACTCCAAACCCCACCTAGCCCTCTTTTCAACAGAAAGACTTTTTTCCGTTTTCACAGCAAAATCAGGCCAACAATGTGAACTCCTTTAGCCTCGCAAGTACTGGCCCACAGGTTCAACTCAAATGCAATAGCGCCCTCTTGCTTTCTGTAGTGAACACTGTAATGTGCTTCCCCCATATCCCTTCAGAGCTGAAGGGCTCAGTGCTTACAGCACAGTCTGACTGTCAGACCCCTTTGGGGACTCTCTCAGCTAAAAGAGCCACTTTGCCCTGCCTGTTTCCCAGGGCAGCCTGCATCCAATGAATGACTGATGCGGGGATATAAAGTCCCGGCCCCCGTGTTCCAACTTTTAACTTCCTTCAGAGCTTCTCACGGGGCAGGCTGAGGCCTTCGTTGAACCTGCATTGCAGCCCAACATCTCCTTCCTCCAATCCTGCTTTCATTCCTTCCTTTCCACACGGGGTGATCCCAAGAGCGCTCCCTAATAAGCCTCCTGCATGCTGATCTCCATCTTAGAGTCTGCTTCTCGGAGAACCCAACCTATGACACCCTCTCCCCTTCCCCCAACTCCCTCCTCCTGCCCCAAGCTGGCACCCACCTCCCTGTGCTCAGGTCCAGACTCTCTCACCTCCCCTTGGGCTTTTCTCTATCACTTATCTCCTCTCTTTCCTGCAGCTTGAATTTCTCCCTCTCCCTCCGTCTCTTCTCAGCATGTAAATTTGAATAAATACCTTCAACAAAAATCCCTTTTGACACAGAGCCCCCTTCTAGCTTATGCTGTTTCCTCCCCTTCACAGTGTAAGCTTCTGGAACCAGCCCATTGGTCTGGCTTCTGTATCTGTCACTGCTGAAGTGACTCACCTCTTTTCTCAGCCCTGTCTTGTTTGACCTCTCTGGTGCATCTGGCTCTGGTGGCTGTCCCTTCCTCCCTTCTGCTCTAGGCCACTTAGTTCTTTCCCACTTTCATTATATTTTTAAATGCCTGTGGTCTCCAGGGCTCCATTCTCAGCCCTCTTTTCTTCTTATTCATCATCTCACTCATGACCGTGGCTTCAACCACCCCCTGTACACCGAAGATGCTCAAATTCATACCTCCAGCTCAGACCTCTGCTGCTGAGCGAAGTGCTTTTACATCCGAGCGACTACTAGACATCCCCACCTCTGTACCCCACAGCTATCTCGAAGCCAACAATGGCTCTCATCTTCATGCCCCGCCCCTCCTGGATCTTCCATTTGTTCCCAGTGTTAGGGAATGCCACCACCATGTACCCACTTACTCAAGCCAGAAAACACACGCCCTCTCTCTCTCTCATCACCTACTTCCCAACAACCACAACATTCTGTCGACTCAACTTATTTAGGGGTTCTCAGATGGCTCCTTTACACCCTCCCTGACAATACCCTAGTTTGGGCTTTGAGCCTATACAACTCAAATGACTGCAACAGCCTCCTCAGCAGTTGCCCTGCCTCGACACCATGCCCTTCCCTCTGCTGCCAGAGCAGTGTTTCTTAAAAGGAATTTGGCTCATGGCACTGCTCTGTTCAAAATGCCTCAGTAGTCCCCTGTTGCCTTTAAAATGAAGTAAAAACTCCTTCAATTAGCACCTCTCTCATTGGGCTCTGACCTACCTGGCTTTGTCTCCCTTGCCCCATCTGGCATATTCTAGAACAGTTGGGCTATTTGAAGAGCTTTGAACATGCTTCATTCTCCCATGTCGCAGGGCCTCCTTTGTACATGTCCTTCCCTCTGGAGAGCTGCAGTGTATTAATAACTCCCTGGTTACTCTTCCCTTCCCCACCCCTCACTTAATCTTCAAGTGTCTCAACAAACTTTCCTGACCCTCTGAGGCTGACTTAGGTCCTCACTTTCTCTCCTTTTTATAGACGTCTATTGGACCTCTTGCACCCTACCCAGTGCCTCTCTTTCTATGTCTTTCTTTCTACCAGACTGATTTCTCAAGCCAACAATCCCACCCTGTGATCCCATACCTGACACGGGGTTGGGCACTTGGTTGCTGCTCATTGAGTGCTTGTCGGAAGAATGAGTCAGTGAGGCACGAGTGAGGAGCAGCAGGATGAAAGGAAACGAGCAGCTTGAGGGGAGCCAGAAGGCAGATGCCCCTGTGTCACAATTTTGCTCTGCTAGACACTGTCTTTGATCTCTAACAGACCCAGATTATCCCCAAATGCAATCTGCTCTGATCTCTTAACTTCTCTGCATTAGGAGCACAAATGAACCAGAGCTTGTGGTGCTCTGCCTTGTGGCCAGGGCCATCAGGTGAGACCCTTGCCCAACTGCACAGTGACCATTCTGTGTCTATGGACACTGTGAGTCTCTAAGAGGCAGGGCCACCCACCCGAACCCTTTGTTGGCTGATTTAGATAGAAAGAGGGGAAAGAGAGCCCTGACAGTGCTCACCACTTCTTCTGCAACTGCTTTTATATTAATAATGCAGCTGCATCTGCTGCCCTCAGTGCTGCAGAAGGAGTCCAGGGATCCTGAGGTGTTTATACTCTTAGCCTCTGGGGTAGCTGGGCCCAGCCTGGGGCAGCTCTCATCACAAGAAGCCTCTTCCTTTTTATCCCAGTGTGCTAGACAAATATTTTCTCTGTGTGTGCTGTGACCTGAAAAAGGTTGATTAGCACAGTTGAATATCTAATAATTCTGGTTAGGAACCAAGAATTTTGTGAGCACCCACCTGGGGCCTGGCATCTTCAATTAACCCACACATCCCCCCGAATTAAAGCCTTCTCTTATGTTTTAAAGTAGGGCCAAGGCCGGGTGTGGTGGCTCACACCTGTAATCCTAGCACTCTGGGAGGCCGAGGTGGGCCGATGGCTCAAGGTTAGGAGTTCCAGACCAGCCTGAGCAAATTTGAGACTCCCATGTCTACTAAAAAAAATAGAAAGAAATTAATTTGCAATCTAAAAATATACATAGAAAACAATTAGCTGGGCATAATGACACATGCCTGTAGTCCCAGCTACTTGGGAGGCTGAGACAGGAGGATCGCTTGAGCCCAGGAGTTTGAGGTTGCTGTGAGCTAGGCTGACGCCATGGCACTCTAGCCTGGGCAACACAGTGAGACTCTGTCTCAAAAAATAAATAAATAAAAAAATGAAGTAGGGCCACAGTCTTTTTTTTTTATCACCGTTTTACAGGTGAGAAAACCAAGGCGCAGCAAGATCAAGAGACTGACACACTGCAAGCCTTGTCAGAGACAAATGAAACCTAGTGGGAGTAAGTGGCTGAGGCCCGAGCCCTCTGAGACTGTCGCTACAGTGCATTAGCACTGTGCCCACAAGAGGTCAGTAGGTTCCACAGGAGCAAAGCTGGGGAGAGGGAGGCCGCACGATGGAAGGTGGAGCCATCGTCTGTAATGGCAGCCCTACTTTCTGGCTGCGCAGCAGTTCCAGAGAAGGAAATCCCTCTACCGCCAGGACTTCTGGGAAACGCCTCCTCCAGTGGCTTACCAGCCCTGTGGTTGGCCAGGGGAGTGCTTATCCCAGAAAGGCTGTGAAAGTTCCCAGGGGCAGCCACCTTATCACACTGCAATCCTCAGGTATGAAGAACCACATGTGAAGGCAGTGCCTGTAGACGGGTGGCTGGCATGCTTGCCCTCTGTCTGCAAAGCTGCAGCCATTTCCATGTGAATAACCAAAACACAAAATATCACAGGGCTGCGTCTGTTAGGCCAAACCTTCCTGGATGAGGGAGTCTGAGGGTGGGGGAGATTTGAAGAGCCATAGATATAGCATCTCCAGGATTTTTTGTTTTTTTGAGACAGAGTCTCACTCTGTTGCCCGGGCTAGAGTGAGTGCTGTGGCATCAGCCTAGCTCACAGCAGCATGGGCAATAATATAAATTTCAAAACAGCTAGAAGAAGGATTTTAAATGTTCTTACCACAAAGAAATGGTAAATGTTCAAGGTGATGGACATGCCAATTACCCAGATTTGATCATTACACAATGTATACATATAGCAAAAACATCACATTGTATCCCACTAATATGTATAATTATGCTTCAATTAAAAATTACAAAAAGAAAATGGAGGCATAAATATTAAAGAAAGTGACAAATTATCATTGTTATAATTAGGCTATTTTGGTGTTAGTAACAATACTGAAGTTATCTTAAATGATAGGGATTAATTATAATAACAAAACACGGAATAAGGAACTAGGAATAGAAGAAAAATTTTAAAATTATGATAAAAAGGATATCTATTAAAAAATCCTACAGCAAGCATACTTAAAAACTTGCCTCCTGAAATTGGAAATGAGACAAAGATTCCCTTTATTACCATTGTATTAGAAATCCTAGCCAGTGCAATAAGAGAAAAAAGGAAAACAAAAAGTTTAAAGATTTAAAGGAAAAAGGAAAAAAAAACTGACCATCTTTATTTTTAGAAAACATGATTGTGTATATAGTATATTTAAAATAATTGAAGAATAGATATTTGAATTGATAAATGAACTTAGAAAGGTTGCCGGACATGGGGTCAATATAGAAAACCAATTGTATTTCTGTACATAAGCAACAAGCAGTTGGAAACTTAAAATTTAAAAATAGAAATAGGCCGGGCGTGGTGGCTCACGCCTGTAATCCTAGCTCTCTGGGAGGCCGAGGCGGGCGGATTGCTCGAGGTCAGGAGTTCGAAACCAGCCTGAGCAAGAGCGAGACCCTCTCTACTAATAAATAGAAAGAAATTAATTGCCAACTAATATATATACAAAAAATTAGCCGGGCATGGTGGCGAATGCCTGTAGTCCCAGCTACTTGGGAGGTGAGACAGAAGGATCGCTTGAGCCCAGGAGTTTGAGGTTGCTGTGAGCTAGGCTGACGCCATGGCACTCACTCT